GTAATACGTAATTAGATATAATTACAGTCAAAGTTGTGAGATGACAAATGTGAAAATCAAACTGTTGCAACTTTTAAAGAACAGAGAATAGTGCTAAGCTTCATAAAAAATACGAGTCCAAAAGAGGCCCAACAACAACAAAAATAGCAAAACAATCCAACGGCAAATATGAAGATAGCAAATGTATAATTCAAAACAAAAAATCACTACTAGTCTACTAGTCGGAAATGTTCTTAATAGTAGTATCTTCTCATAGCAGTCATAAGTTCTCATAATGTATTCATTATAATGACGACGACCAACACAAAAACATAGAAATCGCCATTCACGGAAGAAAAGTACCTTCAATTAGAAGTGTAAAACAGAGAAAGAGTATTGAACAATTAGACATTAGGGTTTGAGTTAGAAACACAACATGGCTGAATGAATATAAGAGATGAGTGGGACTTGCTATTAAATCAAGCCGAAGTTATGTATTTCCATAATTCATTGCTATACAAGTTATAAAAGTGAGACACTTTTTGACATATTATAATGCTATACAATTTGATTTTATTAGGAGAAAAAATTGAAAAACAATGACAAATCTACATTTAAGAGGTGTTTGGAAGTGATTCTGCTTCTGCTTCTTTTTTAAAGCAGAATCAGAACCAGTTTTCAGAAGCTGGTCTCCCCCAGCTTCTAAAAAACTGATTCTGGGAGTAAATTAGAGCACCAGAATCAGCACTTTCACCCAAACACTCTAATTTCTGTTTCTGCTCCCTGAAGGAGCAGAAGCCGTTTTAAGATCCAAACACCCCCTTAGTAACTATAGTATTTACTAACTATAGTATCACTACTAATACTCAATGTGTTATAATTGCTATTGTATTAATACATATGCACAATATAAAGATATACTACGTAACATAGAAGTCAACATACTCATGTCACTTAATAATGCAGAGATGAAGGGAATAATATGCAACAAATTCCTGTAACTGAAATCTCACTGATTCGTGCGAAAGCACCAAACAAACCCAAAACACCAATAAGAAAAACAACAAAAAACTGAGTGTGTTGATCACCAAAGTGAAGATGCGCCACAACAGCATGAAGATAATGTTGAGAGGAATACTATGAGCCAGAAGATGTTGAGCAAGAGAAGGGGAAAGATGAGCAATAAAGAGATAAAGATGAAGCTAAAAAACAGAACCTATTAGGGAAGAAAGAGAATAAGAAATGAAGAAACTCAAATGAGAGTTACTAGAAATATGACTATTGACCAGTGTCACAAAAATCTGGAAGAAACATAGAGGAGGAGGATGTTTCCAAAGATGTTGACCAGAATGTCTTTGTTCGAAGAGTTTGACATAAGTCATTGACAAGTTGATGACCAGAAAAATGATATAGTGCACATGGGCTTTGGGTCATTATTCTACCTTCTAGTCAAGCAATTGTCTGCACATATTCGCCATTGGGTTGTAGACTGCTTTGATAGCATGAGCGTGTCATTAATGTTACCCAATCAACTGAAACTGTACATTAATGAAGATTTTGTGCACTACACTGTAGGATTCTCAAAAGAGAGGGTAAATATCCAGGAGAAGATTGAAACGCAGGGTGAACTGACTGCTGATATGATAGCTGACTGGAGAAAATAGTTCCCAAATGATAAAGGCCTCATTATAAGAGGTGAGCTGAAGAAGGTTTTAGAAGAAAACAGAGAAGGATGAGATTGGTTTAAGAAAAATTTGTTGGTTTTGATAGTGACAGGTTTGGTGGAAGGTAATAAAGCAGAATTGTTGTATGAACCAAAATAATCTCAAAGCTTTGGATGATGAATCAAGATTGAAGGATATAGACTACTGATGTGGCTACACTTTGCACACGCTAATCAAAGCAAAGGATTTCTGGAATGACAACAGAGCAATGCATTTTTTGGATCTCTAGTATTTTTTATTGTAAGTTTAAAAAGTTTTGAACTTTTAATGCTAAATATTATAGATCTACTAGTTATATGTGTTGAACGTTTTATAATCTATTCTAAAATCATACTATGTACATATATTTTATGTTGATAGTGTGGTGTTTAAAGTAAGGAGGATATCAAGGAAAGGGAAGCACAATCAATACTTGGATGTACAACTCAAAATTTGAACAGTAAAAGAAGAGAAAAACCAGGGGGTTTAGGATATGGCTTCATAGATGAACCAAACCTGGGGTTTGGATATGGATTCATAGATGAACCAAACCAGGGGGTTTGGATATGGCTTCATAGATGAACCAAATCAGAAAACACTGGTGACACCAGAATAATACAGAATAATAAATATAAGATCACTAAAGATGAAGCACAATGCTCAGAGTAGCGAAAGAAGGTATGAAGAGAATTAAAATTGTGATTTATGATGAGTATTTAAGAATAGTAAATTGATTGTAGTGCAGTGCATTTATGATGAGTATTTACTATTTAGGAATAGTAATTAGATGTTTTTATAGATAAGTAATGTTTTAAAAAAAACAGCACAAAACGAAAGTGAAAATTGCTTATCCTCGTTTAAGGATCAGAAACATACTCCCTCCATCCCACTAAGATTGGGACAATTCGGTTTACGATGCTTCACTGACGATAAAGCAAACAGATCTTTGTCCACTCTCAAATTAATCTTAGAAAGAAAATTACATATTCAGAAACTACATTAAAAGCTTTACAAAGTTGCAAAAGCCTAAATACAATTTGATAAAAAATTGATATATAAAGTAAGAGATCAAGAGTGATTTGTGTTGACCAAGTGAATAGTGTCTGGGACAATCTTAGTGGGACGGAGGGAGTATATTGGAGTGTTTGAATGAAGATGCAAAAGTACCTCCAAGTAGGCTTGGCCCGGGTTCGGTCCGACCAGCCCAGGAACCGGCCCGGCCCGACCCGGTGGACCAGTACCGGTACCGGGCCTTGGCACGACCCGGGGGGGGGGTATGGGGGCGGGTCTGGGACTGCAAATTTGGGGACCGGCCCGGTCAGTCCGGGCTTGATCCGGGCATTTTTTTTGTTGGTTTTTTGGGGTTTGGTCCTACGGTAGGTGGGATGGGCTAGGTGTTTTGGTGGGGTTTGGGGGTGGGGGTTGGAAAAAAATAAGGAAATCTAAAAAAATAGAACCGACCCGGTACTGGTAGACTCTCGGGCCGGTCCCGGGTCTTACTAAACAAATCCCAAGCTCATTGGGGCCCGACTCGGAACCGGAGCCGGACCAGGTCCACCCCTACCTCCAAGTGATTCAAATTGCTCTTAGAATCACTTTTTAAAAAGTTGGAGCGAACAGCCTATGAATAATTCATTAAAAATCGATTTCTACTTATAAAAAAAATCAGTAACATCAATTCCAAACACTCAAAGTGTTTCTAAAACAGAAACACTACACTAATGTGTTACTAAGAGCATCTTCATTCATGCTCCTCAAATTTACAGTTTTTTATGATTTGGTATTGTCATGTCATTGCCACATAAATAATCTCAAAATTTATCAATTCTATCTCAATCATGATCACAAATTTCTCAGATTTTTTTATGGGGACATACACTTGAATTTATACCTTTTTTATGGCCACGGTATAAACTAGCTATAAACTAAACGGTCACTTTAATCTCAAGGGTAGCTAACTCACTTCACGTATACGTGTAAATGCATTGGGAGTTGGAGAACGAGTCTAAAAGTTTGAAAATAATCCCTAATAATTCAGATTTGATATTTGATACCAGATTTTTTTTCAAAATAATCTTAACTTCTCATTCATGATCTTTAAAAAAAAATTTCACATCATCGAAGTGATCCCAAAAATAATCTTTGGATGAGGATGCCCTAATACGGAGTATCTTATTATCCCGAAACATAAAGAGAGAACCGATGTTGACATTCTCATCTTTGATTTTGACCAATTTCAATTTGTGTATTAAAAGATCTCAAGGTTTTATAAAACAAAGAAAATAAATTAAAAAAAGATCTCAAGATTTTATTCACTTTTTAGAGTCACAAAGATAGCATGAAGAATTAATCTCTTTTCTCTCTCTTTTTCTTTTCATTTTTATCATCTTTATCTTTGTTATATTCTTAATTTCTTATACTAGTGTTATTTTGGCCCTTTCTTTTTAATCTTAACTTGTCTTTTTATTTTTATTTTCTTTTTGGCTCCAACGTCATTCAATTCATGTTAGTCAAGGGTTGTTTTGCATTTTTCTTAATATTACTGAGTAACATACAAATCACTTACTACTTGGGATGTTTTTATTTGGATAGTTATAAAAATACAAGAAACCAGACTAAACCACTTATAAAAACATCAAAAAGTGGAAATAAAGCTTGAATGTTGTTGTACAGTCACAAAAGTCCAAAAAACCCTACGATACATCACTTCGGCAACATGGTTCTAATAGGGGTGGACTGAACCGGGCCGGTTCGGGCCTCGGGCCTGGGCCCGGCCGGGCCTCGGTTCAGAATATTGAGGCCCGAGCCCGAACCGGGGGTGGCCGGTTCCGGGCCGGTTCCGGGCCAGACCGGGCCGGTTCTGGGCCGGGCCACCCGCCCTATTTTTTTTTTTTGTTTTTTGGCTTCTTTATTTAATCCCCTACCCCTCTTTCTCAACCCCAAACCACCTCAAATGGACCAAAATACCTAATCTAACCCAAAACATAAAAAATTTTCAAAAAAAAAAAAAAAAAAAAATTATTTCCGGCCCGGACCGGGCCCGAACCGGCCGGGCCGGTTCACCATATGGAAGGCCCGGGCCCGGAACCGGGAACCACCGGGCCGGTTCGACCCGAACCGCCGGTGAACCGGGCCACCGGGCCGGGCCGGTTGCTACAGTGGCCGGGCCGGGCCAGTTCCGGGTCAGGCCGCCCGGCCCGAGTCCAGGCCTAGGTTCTAATAGTTACTACTGGTTCTTTATTACAATCTGAATTGTTCTTTTTTATGAATAACCATTAGTCCATTACCATCATAAAAGTGGAAACTGATGTACTCCCCAAATGGATCATTGGATCCTTAAACAATGCGTGCATTTACTCGACAAAGATTAGATTAAATAAAACTTTAAAAAGGTAAAGCCGGTACAATTTTAATGTCACCATTATCATCATCATCATCATCATCATAACTTGCAAATCAAAAGTCAAATAAAAACATAGCCAAAATAATCTACCATTTGGAACCAAAGGTGTAATACATATTCACATATGCATTTCGTTCACCTAGACCTAGTAATAGACAATTAAAGCAATTAAAGCCCATCTGTCGGTCAATCGATCACCAAAGACTGCTTCTTGCGACTCCAACACTTCAACAAATTCCTCATATTAAGACTTCTCTCTTCCAGATCTGTAGAGGCTGCGGTTGTCCACCAAAAAAACGAGGGCTTTGTAGCACTAACACTGGCACACTGCACAAGGGTCAAATATTTTTAAGAAAAAGGGTCAAATAGACCCACGCACAATTGTAAAACCATCATCTAAACCCATGTTCAAAAAAAGCATTGTATAAACCTATGTATTCTTAAAAAAGGATCAAATTGGCCAATTTACTTGAAGTTGACGATTTTAGCTGGTCACTTGCTAATTATACAGATTTAAATTTTTATTTCATTTCTTTTTTACTTTTTCTTTCTCTGTGATCCGTTCACCCCATTCCCAATTCCTATCATCTTCTTCCTGATTCAATTTTGTTTAGGAAGCAAATAATGACTATTAAATGGGTGTCCCCCAAAACTAAGAGCTTCTCATTAATCATTTCTAAAAAAATGATATTATATAATATATATTATATATATAATCAGATTTTAGAGGCAGATGAGGACGGCGCTTGAGCGGCGAGAATGGATTTCCCAGTCGGTGGTCTTCCTTACCAACTTGTTTGGGACAAAGATGGAAATTAGGGGTCGACAACCTATTAATGGGACGTGGCAGAGTGATGAAGATGAGTGAGTCCATTCAATAGTCTCTGCACAAAGCTACTGGGTGAGCGAAGAAATTAGTGATTTCAATGGAGAGCAGAGAGCTCTGTCCTCCCTTATCCAGCGACCCTGCACGCACAACAGTCCCTCTTGCAGCACAGCGAGAAGAGAAGGTAGCCACCTCTTTCATGTGGACAAATCTGAAGGATATCATCGTTGGACTGCTCTAACGTCTTCGATTCGAGATTTAGGTCGACCAATAGTTTTGGACCTTTTGAGCTCCTCACACCAGCGACCCCAAGGACATTTCACGATGAAGTCTGGGAAGGAGCGAACAAAGAAGATAGAGAAAGAAAAAAGATAAAGAAAATGTAAATTATAAAGGAAAAAGAGAAAATATAAAATATCACAAATAGCAAGTGACCGGTTAAAAATGGTCAACTTCAGGTAAATTGGCTGATTTGTTCATTTTTTTAGAATAAATAGGTTTATACCATGCTTTTTTAGCAAGGTTGTTAAAATCGTATTTTTTGATCGAATCGTAATAAGGATTTAAAAATCGAATCGCAAAATCGAATCGTAAATCGTAAGATTTTATTAAAAAATTAAATAAAAATTACTAAACATATTATAAAAGGATACATACAATTTAACATGAATTAATACTTTAGTTTATTGCAAATTTAAGTCTCTAAGTTAAACCACTATATGTTTAAGTCTTATAATGATGTATTCAAGTTTAATTTATTGCAAATTAAAGTGCACAAAATAATGTTATATTGTTATGTAACCAAGAATAAAAGTCACTCAATAAATAAATGCAATGTTATAAGTACTTACGGAGTAATCAAGTTTTAGATTGGAAACGCTGTATAAACATTACTCCACTACGTAGTTGAAATAGTATAACTATGTTTTTACAAATTTACTAAATCACGTTCTATAGCTACGTTAATACTCCTACAAATCAACAGTTGGTATTGGTGAGTTGGTAAAGTTAATTTGCTCCTTTAACAATGGGGTGCAGCCGTGCAGGTTTGATTCGTAGTTTAGAGCGGAAATTTTGCTGTTCTAAAATGGTTTTTTCTTCTCTCATTTCTCAAATGAGACTTTCCCACACCGAAAACGCAAGGAAAGTTGTCATCCCACTTTCCCTATATAATGTCAGTGCCATACGCACAACAGCTAGGCAGCAGCTACTTAAGCAATAACGGGCTAAAGTTATTTGGGCCGCGTTTGGCTTGAGATTTGGCCCGTGTTCTGCCTGAAATAGACATAAGTTTTAAAATCGTAAAATCGGATGCAATCGCGATTTTAAGCGATTCTATACGATTTTAAAACGATTTTATACGATTTTTTAAATTTCCGATTTTGTTTGCGATTTGAATCGGTTTAGTGATGTTGAATCGTAAAATCGTACGATTTTACAATTCAACTCGCGATTTTAACAACCATGTTTTTTAGTACATGGGTTTAGATGACGGCTTTACAATTGTGCATGGGTTTTGACCCTTTTCCACATATTTTTAATGAAGATATTTCTTATTTATTAACTTTTCCATCCCTATATATAGTTTACCCAGTTGGACGTTGCATGAAGATTTTAAAAAAATATGAAATTGTTAGCATTTGTTTAGAAAGCACAATGGTTCTTATAATGTTATATCAAAAGAAAAGTAAGACATTTTAAAATAAACCTTAGCATAACTCGCTGGAGGTATCAAGTTACGTGTGGTGTAATAGTGTGAAGATGTCTACCGCATCAATCTCATGCCGCTGCAACATTGTACGCACGACACCAAGTCCTGATGCGGTGAAAGTTTTAGGTGCAGAATCTCAATTCACTGCAACAATAGCTAAAACGAGTGCTTGTGCATGAGGAACCACAAGTAGTTAGTGGGCAAGCAAGAGCAATGAAATTTACCTCTAACCATTGAAGAATTGTACTCAGATACGAACTTCCTTATTCTGTTTGACATCTTCATTGCCATCAGCAGTATATGAGCTCCTCTTCCGAACAGTGGGGAATAACACATGGCTCATGGAAGGAGCTCTCCAAAACTGAGGGCTTGTGGAATGAATTTTGAAGAATATTTTCTACTTGAAATGCATCCACTCCCAATACCCTCAGCTGCATATGCCTGCATCCTGCCACAATGTAAGAAAAAATGTGCAGCTCAGAAAGCTGCCTCTCAATCATGTGCTCAAGAAACTTTGGCAGGATGCAGGCATGGCCCAGGCCCCTTATCGGGGCCGGGCTAACCCAAAACTGGCATCAGGTTGCTGCTGGTAAGACTGCAAGGTATGAAGTAGTAAAAACAAGTCAGTGTTGAACTTTATAATTATCAGGAATGGTAGCTAGAAATGATGGGTGTGCAAGGCAAATAATATTCTCTAGCCTACATAAAAGTGCCAAAAATGAATATGTAAAAATGTGTAGGTTAGGAGAATATAATGTTTTGTTTGGTAGGGCCTGTAGGGGGTTTTAGGAGATGTAGGAATGGAAGGGGTTATTTTTTATCTTCACATTACAAGGACTATGTGCTTCATGGAAACATATATGTAGTACATAAATAACTATGATAATGACACGTTATTCTTTTTGAAAAATATTCATGTTAAAGCAGTAGTTTTTAGGAAAAATGTTCAATAAGTGCAGCTCAATGCCCATTTTTACCAAGTAGCTATACAAGTCTTATTTTATTGCCAATTACTATGTTGCTTTATAATTTATACACCTATTGCCCTACATAGATATTTTTTAGGAGTTTTACCCCCTATGATCTATACCTTTTGGGTTTAGCCGTTTAGGGTTGAGTATTCAGCGTTTAATGGTGGAGACAGCAGTGGCGGGTCGCCGACGGCAACCCCTTTGATCCCTTTCTCTAGAGTTCGCGGTTCAGCGTTTAGGGATTAGTGTAAAGCAATTGAAGTTTTGGGTTGTGGTGGAGGCAGCGGCCAGTGAGGGGTTGGTGGGTTTATTTCTCATTTTAAAGTCATATGATGGATAAACATAGAGTTGTTGATGACAACAACATCCGAGCCTTAGTCCCAAAAGAGTTTAGGGTCAACTAACATGAATCAACATATAAAATCAGATTTAAAAAAGGATACAAAAAGTTGTTGAGGGCAATTTAGTCTTCATATGTAAAATACGTGTCTTTGGTATAAAAAAGATGGCATGATTTAGTGGGCAATTTATCACTTATTATGTTATGTAGTTATTGATCAAAACCCCATCCTTTAATAATAAAAATAACCACAACTCTTCTTGCCCCTCCAAAACCAGAACACCCTCTTAAACATTCCCTGTGCCTTTGTTTTGGTTAACATGGAATATGACAGAAAGGAAGTGGAAAGACATAGGAGAGAAAAGGTGGACCCTACCTTATATTACTGATTCTCTCATTACGTGAGAAATATCATAGAAATGGATCACGTCGATTTCCTAAGCATTTCTTCTCCATTTCCCTCCTACCAACACATTAAATCTACCATATTTATCTTCTATTTCTCTCTTCTCTACCAACTTTTCGATCTATTTCTTTGTTCTCCACCCCTTTCTAACACATTCCCCTCTTCTCTAATTCTTTCCTAAACCAAACAAGGGCTAAGAGTTTCAGTTTTCATTTTCTATAAATCTTTGTTCAACCTTTCACTTTATTCCCTTCAGGCTTCCCCTGTGTGGGGGAGTCATAACTCATAAGTGCTTAAATCATGTGATTTGATGTATACCTGTGAAAAGGGTTGGTGAACTTGAATTTGTTCATGATGATGGACAAAAGGCATTCCAGGATGCTGACAAGGATACTGAGACGAGTGCAGGTACAAGGCAGGATTGGACCGCACACCGACATGACTGGGATTGAACGGAGGGTGCATCATGGTCTCAGCCTGACCGTATCCAATACCGGGAGTAGACGGTGTAACCCACTGCACAGGCAATCGCGTAGGGAGAGGGCGAGATTGGTGTTCATGGGAGATAGGAGGCCGGTGTGCTGATCCAAGTTGAGGAAACTCGGAATTGTAGTTCAAAGCAGGTGCATACAATGGTTGAATAGCATAAGGTCCTCCCGTAAATCCAAATCCAGGGTCAAACCTTTGCAAGTATCTGTAATATACATGTCATACAATTACCAAAATGTAGGGAATTAATGTGCAAAGATTTCTACATCCAGATGGAGCATGTACACGCTTGCATAACAAAAGATTGAACAACCACAAGCATGTCAAGCACAGAAGCACTCATTACTCTGAAAACCAAAACACCAAAACAATTGAAAGAAAAGAAAAATCATCATTATCATCGCCTTCACTCCAGCCCTAACGGTATCAGTAATATGGATGGCCTTCCAGTCACAGAATGAGGAAAAACAAATAATATATGCCAAGCCAAATATTATAGTATTCACAGAGCAATACTGGTGCAAAATATCCAAAACAAAGGTTACGACAACAATGAGTGCAAAGTTGTCTTTATAGAGGTGACTGAACAAGGTGATAATCCAACAGGCTACAATTGATGAAGCATTGACCGGGCACCAAAGGTGTCTCCAGAAAACCAAAAGAGAGTAAAAAGAGAAGAAGAGCAGAGCAAAGCAACACAATACAGCAGTTGAAGTTTTCCTTTTCATAAGCCAAGTGGGGCAACTTCAAGAGGGAAGAAGAGCATACCTGTCATAGCTCCTGTCATAATCAGGATCCTTGCGATCAGTTTCCCTATCCCTGAATATGGCCACTCTATTACTAGTTCTAGACCTAGCAATCTGATCCTTCTCAGTCCTACTTCTAGCTGATCTATTGCTACCGGTTGACGAAGAATCAAGGGCGCCTCTGCCAATACTCACATCAGAACTCCCAGCAGAGCTGCCCGCCTTTTCATCTACATTTGCAACTCTTAGTGAACCAGGCTGGAAAGGTTCCAGCATCTTTGATTGACTTTCATTCTTTCCATTATCACTCCCGGCTAAATTACTAGAGCTAAAAATCCGAGCCCTTGCCCTGTTGTATTCTTCTTTTCTTTCCTCTACACTTTTACAGCTATTATTCTTTGAGGAGTTTGAATCTAAAGAACCACTAAACTGTGAACCTTTCTGTGGTCTCTGCTTAATAGCAACTTTGACAACACCACTCGGGTCTTCCTGGGGAACATTTACAGGTATATCAGCCAGACGAATTGAAGGAATTCGAGTTTCAGAACTTTTGCATACTATAATTCGGGATCCGGAACCATCTGGTAGACTGTTGTCTAGTAAGACCATTGACTGGAGAAAGTAGTGCTGAGCGACACGATGAGCAGCCAGACGCAAATAGGAGGTAGGTAGCTGCTGGAACTCCATTTGCTGCCGAGTTGGATCTCTAATGAATTTCTCAACATCTTGCTCCAATCTTAAAACTAGACAGAATAATACGCAAAAAAAAAAAAAAATTACTGTCCAAAATCCCAATGAGAATGTATCAATAAGCAACATATAATTCAACTCTTGAAAAGAGAAAAAAAGAGTTTAATAGATGCCTACAGATTATACATTTAAACCATCATAAAAGAGCATAATAAGATACTAGGCTTTCCTAACCTTCATCCAAAGCATACATATACACAACAGATAATCAGATATGCATTTATTTAGTCAAATTGTCAAAATACAAAGAGAGAAAGAAAGTAGCCTCCTCTATAGACCTCATTTCTAGCAAGAAATAAAGAAAAGAGGTTCTACCCATGAAGGTTTAAATTATTGGATTTCATGAAATATGAGTTGAATTATCAAGGAGCCATCTCCCACTTGAACTCAAATGAAGGCACAATGCACTTTAGTTATTAAAAGAAGTGCAGGATAATTGAAGAGCTTAAACAGTTAATATGAAACGCAAGCCTTGGAAAAAGCCTCACCCCCCCCACCCTCCTAAAAAGTAGGACTGTAATGCATATGAAGGGGAAAAGGCACAAAACTCATCTACTCTTTCCCTTTCAGTATACTGGTCACATTTAGATTACAGATTTTTGTTTAAATAATATTCCAAATTAAATAACTAAATGTATACATTTAAAACTACATTATAAGTTTTATTGACCCGCAAAACCAGATTTGAATATCACTTTAAAATAGTTAAGAAATCAAAATTTAAAATAGAGTTGGTTGGCTGTATGAATTGTGAATGGGAACAATATTATGAACAATATTGATAAGAAAATGTAGTATTACTATTTTTTAAAGAAATTTAGACAACTCCAATAACAAAACATCTAGTATATTCACAAGTCTGAGTAACAAACTAACAACAGAAAAAATCTGAAAAATCAAGTTGCAGAAGTCCCTGAATCATGCTGCAGAACGAAAAAAGTTTCCCAAATCTAATACCTCTAAGGAAGTGATAACTATAGGTCAAACAGAAAGACCAACATTACAGCATTATTAAAACTCTCATGTCACCATTCCCAGTGAAAAGTAAGTATGTTTTTAGTTGGACTTTTCTCAGTCCCAAACCAAACTTAAACAGACCAGATCAGACCAGACTAGACTTTGACCGTTATAATAAAATACACAAAAACCATACATATAACAGACAAGTTTAGAGCAAACCAGTAATGTTATCATGTTATCATGTTTAACAATTAGCATTATAGACAAACTTTTAATTTTCAAAAGTAATGTTACATTTAGAGGAAATAATAACAATGTGTATTTTCTCAATGTTGCATTTTCAAAAATAATGAACTTTTTTAGCTTTGATGTAGTTCTTTGTGTGTTCTCAGTGTAAAGTCCTTCACGTTCCATTCACCTTCTAAAGCAGTGGACACGAGGCATAAAAGTAAAATTCCTTAATAGTTGAAGATCTTAGGTCCCCCTATCACTGCAAATAAGAATTGCACGTTGATGCGATTTGATTGCAATAACCATGAAAAGATAATAAATTGACCATAATAAGTGGTTCTGCAGAAGTGGTAATTTAGTATGGTTGGCCTGTTTTAGAAATAAACTAATCCATACAGTACTACTTTGAAATAGTCAACCTAATCTATACTAATAGGATTTTAAAGATCTATTGGTCTTAATTCTTGACCACCTTCTTCTTTTCAAACACTGAGAGTATTTTCAATCATTTCATGATAAGATTTCTTGGGAAGAATAAACTAGTATCAGTACTCCACATCATCGTTAACAATGGAATAACCAAGCCATCAATGTTGCCTTAACGTTTAGTACGGAACAGTTTTTACATTTATCTCCCCTCCACACACACAAACATTAATTTGTTCTCATTCAAATCACTACTAGGCTCGAGAACTTCCAAAGAACAAACAAATTTCACATGGAACTCCAAAACACTCCTCATTCATTAACAAAAACCTGGTAACATGAGAGAGATTTACATAAAGTGGAAGGAACCTGAAAGTCGCTCCCTAGAGTTTTGTAAAGCCTCCCGGAGAAACTGATCGACGGAATTGATGACATCCTCAGAAAGGTTTAAAGCAGGAGCCGAAGTACTAGAAGCCGGCGCCATATTTGGAGCTGAAGCCGAAGTATCGGAGAGGTCGGAAAGACTAACGGATTTCTTCTTGGATGACGAGAGCATGAGCCGGCGCATGCTGGCGTCCACGTCAGCCACCTCCCAGGACTCAGGCGTGGCTCCAAGATCGTCTACCGCCGAACCAGAGCCCTCCATGCTCTTCAATCCCGACCTGCTCCTAGAAACAAAGGGTACAAAAAAAAACGCCAATCCTATCGGATGCTCATCAAATAGAGATGAAATCTGACGTAGACCTGGACATTTTGGTCGATTTCATGGCGAAAATAGAACAAGAACGAGAATTTAGAGAGAAACCGATAGGGTTTGCGTTGCCCCTTCGGTCTTCGGGGGATTTTTCTTCTCTACGTTTCCTTCGCTTGGAAAGAGGCGTGTGATGCACACAGCACCCAATGTGAGAGTTGGCTTTGTTGGAGACAATCAAGACTCATTTTTGATAAGTTTTTCAATAAATATACTCATTTACCCTCATTTTCTTTCCTACTTTTTCATTCTTTTTCTTACTTTTTCATTTAAACACAAACCACTATACCTTTTCCACAGTATTAAAGAACAGAGGGAGTAATAGAGATAATTCCCTGAATAGCAAGTGATGATGCAAAGAAGTTTAACAGGTAGTGGTCTTAGCAAGCGGACCTGCTTGGCACACTCCAAACCTAAAAGCGTCTTCAATGTTAGAATGTGCACGGTGTGCATGTGACATAAAAAATAGCCACATAAATATTAGCAAATAAATTATCTTTTTTCTTATTTGAATAGATTTTATACAATTTTAATATGTTTTTCCCTGCAATGTCAATATCTAGACGGTCTCCTTCATTGGACAATTTTGTCCTCTTTCGAATTTAAAGTTCAATGTTAGAATGTGCACGGTGTACATGTGACATGAAAAATAGACACATAAATATTAGCAAATAAATTATCTTTTTTCTTATTTGAATAGATTTTATACAATTTTAATATGTTTTTTCCTGCAATGTCAATATCTAGACGGTCTCCTTCATTGGACAATTTTGTCTTCTTTCGAATAGAAGTAGCTCCAAACTCAACTCCAAACACCTAGCGCACCGAAGTGCCAAATTCCTTGCATTGCTTTTTAAATTAATAAAAAAAACTCGTACGTTGTAGGTTTTTGTATTTCATTTAATTTTGTTTTAACTTTGTTTTTAAAAACTGATATCTTTAAATGTACTCAAAATCATAACATAATCAGACTTACGAATTCTACCTACCATCAAAATATTTGTAATACATTATAATGTTTTTATAATTTTTTTACAATTTCTCTTTTTACGAGTGATGAATCTCAAGATTATCTAAAAAAAAATAGTAATCTTGACTTTCACACTAGTAAGATACATACGGAGTAGTATTTATTTATCTTAATTCATACTTCCTCTATCCCCCCAAATAAGTTCTCACTTTCCTTTTTGGGTAGTCCCTAAATTAAGTTCACACTTCAACACTTTCCTTATTTGGCAAATTATCTACATCAAAACAGTGTCAAACAGTGTTCATACAGTGTCAAACAGGGTTTAAACAGTGTCAAACAGTGCACTCCACAGTAAGGTCAAATTTATTTTCTTAATATGTGCGAAGTCAAATCAGGAACTTAATGGGGGATGGATGGAGTATTAATCAATTCATCTATCCTACTAGTTGTATTTCTATTTTTCTTTTTGTTCCGTTCATTAAGTTTGTCGCATTTAGTGTACAGTGACACTTGGGGGGCCACATACGTTTTTTCATTTATCTTCTTATTGAATATTGTCTTTATTTTGTAAATTGTCATATAAACAATTCAAATGTTTTTAATTAGAGTGATTTCGATCGCATATTAGACTAGACGTAAAGAGATTAGACCTACTCAGATTTTAACAGTTGTAAAACACACAGAATAGACATCTAACAGATTAGATCCGCTTAGATCAGACTAAACTAGATCAAACTTAAACATATCAAACCCCGATGAATTGATATTTGATCAGACTAGACCATAATTGTTTTATCTAATTAAAAATATCCTTTTTGGTAATATAATTATATAAATTAATCTCTCCTAGTAAATGTTTTTTTGTCAAATTAATATGTATACTTCAAATTTCATTCTTATAAATTAATAACTTTGCGAACATGTTTAAAATACACGGAAATCATACATTTACCAGACCAGTTCAGACCAGACCAGAATAGATTAGACCAGATCAGTAAATTTCAGTTCAAATAAAAATATCCCTAATTTCAAAGTTTTTTGGAGTCAACTAAAAAAGGCAAGAATGATAAAAAGATAAAATATTATGAAATAGAGAGTCTATATATATATATATATATATATATATATATATATATTGTTGGGTTAATGGCCCAAGTTGAGGTTCGGCCCATTTACCCCTTCTTCCGGACGTACGTCCAGATAGATCACTAAGCTAGCCTGGCAAGCCCATTTCCTCCAGGAGAGACGAACGTCTGCAGTTGGGGTATAGGCAGCGGCCCATCCCGATGAACGTCTATGCAAGGACAAAGAGCAGGGCCATGAGTCACCAGAATGACGACGGACGTCGTCAGAACAAACCCATAGCCATCGGAGGCAGTCCAGTCCACATTGCGAGACGAACGGCCAATACCCCTTGGAGGCCACCTGGAGCTATTCAGCTCTCTCCGGCGGACGAACGTCCCCACTAATTAGGCGGGAAACCTAGATTCTGGCGGGAAGTGCATTTAATGCGGAAGATTTGGTGGTTGGGACACCAGCGGACCACAGGCTTCCACGTCAGTGTAGCCACCTGCCCATTGGTGGGTATAAATAGCAGCATTTATTTCATTGTAAAGGGTTGGCAACTTTCTATTCTTAGCACTAGCTATAGCATTCTTACTCGCAGCACTTCTACTGCCTTGTAAGACGAACGGCCGACGAGCCTTAGTGAGAAGTATTGTATTAGGGAGTTATTAAGAGATAATAATACCTAATCCTTTACTAGCTGCTTACTGTTCTCCTTGATCCATATCACTTGCTTGTTGGGCTAGATATTCATACACACTCCACTCGAAATCCTTGGGCTTACGTGTTGGACCCGAGGGTTGAAGGAATAAACCTCAACACTGGCGCCGTCTGTGGGAAACTGAACTAAAAGTTTCCAAAAAACTCTCCCAAAACAGCTACTAAATCTACCCACAGCAAACACGATGACAAGGAACAATCGACAACGTGACCTTTCCGAGCAGCTGTCCCGCGGACGAAGCAACCGCGGGCAGACCACGGAACGCTCCGAGACGTTGGGAACTACTTGGGGTGAGGATGGCCTCACCAACCTCATCCCCCACGAGGCCAGACGCGACCCCCGACTCATGAGGGAGTTGGCGGAAACAATGCGCCGAATGGCGGATGAACAGGAGGCAGATGAGGAGGTGTACTCGGCTAACACCATCTGGACGCCCATATCGCCCATCCACCACATGCAGTCCCTGGATGAGACAGCGGAATCCGCCGGACGCCGGACACCCGTCCACGCGAGGTTGGGCCAAAATCCGTCCTCCCACGGGGTTGGGGGGCACACCAGCGTCAGTACCCCTCGCTATGGTTGGCAGGACGATCATCGGGGGCGCACGCCGGATGTTCCCTCAGAGTATCAGGGCACAGTCATCACCCCCGCGGCCAGGAACATTGGACGACGCTTCCAAAGGCGCGGTGCCCACATTACCCGAAGGCAACCCGACGCGGTTGCCCCACGAAGGAACATAGCACTCGAGGCCGCCCCTCCTGTGTCCCCCGGAAGGGCCGCACAGGAGGCCCGGCTAGAGGCAATGGAGCGGCGAATAGCCGAGATGGACAGACGGGCGGAGGCCACCCCAGCTACGCCTCGCTTCTCCCTCACCTCACCATTCACTCCGAGGGTCATGAATGCAGAGATCCCGCGGGACTGCAGACCACCCGGAAGAATAATATACAATGGGACCGGGGATCCCAAGGCTCACTTGATCAGTTTCCAAGGGAACCTTTCCATGCTGGGAGCATCCGATGAGGCCATCTGCCGGCTTTTCTTCAGTACCTTGAGGGGCCCGGCGCAGGAATGGTTCGGGCAGCTGAGACCCGGATCCATTGACAACTACGAACAGCTATCTCAGCAGTTCATGGCACAGTTCGCTGCCAGCACCACCCCCAAGAAAAGCTTCACATCGCTCACCAGTGTGAAGCAGAGGAAGGACGAACCTCTGGCCAAATTTTTTATCAGATGGAGGGACGAAGTGCTCCAGGTGGACGACTTGGACGAGCGGCTGGGAGTGAATATGTTCACCAGCGCCTTGGCCACAGGGGACCTGTACCGGGACCTTCGGAGGAACCCCAGCACCAGCTACACCGAGGTACTGGCTCGGGCACAGAAGTATGCCTCCATTGAGGAGGAAATCAGACTGAGGGACGGTGCGCCGACGGCTCCTCCCCGGAAGATGGCGGATAGGCTCGGCCCCGGAGGCGGGCCATCCCCCCCAAACAAGAAGAAAAAGACGGACGGCAGCATGGTTCCGTGGAAGGCCCATCCTGAGGCAAGCCACGTGCGTCCGGGGGAGTGTCACGTCCCCTTGGCCTACCCCGTGGGCCAGATCTTCGACGCCATCAAAGACAAGGGCCTCCTAAGGGAGCCCCAGGATAAGAAGGCGCTTATGGGTCTTGATGAGACTGCATACTGCGAATACCACCAGAGGGTCGGCCACCTCACCGACAATTGCAAACAGCTGAGGATGGCCATCGACGAACTGATCCGACAGGGCTACCTGGGTGAGTTCACCCAGCTACTGAAGAAGAATAGCCCAAGGCAGCCAAATCCGAGGTCACGATCATGGCGCCGCGACGATCGGCGCGGGGCTGAACCAAAGGACTAGACTATCGAAGTGCTGATAAACGTCCAGAGGGGTCCCTCGGCCCGAACGGCGGAAAGAAGAAGTTGGAGATCAAGGTGATCTTCGGGGGCGCTGAGACTGGGGACACACCTGCTGAACGGAAGAAGTTTGAGAGATCCCTATATGTGGGCTCCATATCAGCTCCCCCACTAAAAAGAGCAAAGTGGAGGCCATCACCTTTGGGCCGGCCGACCTGCCAATGTCACCGGCCCCGCACAGGGATGAGTTGGTGATCAGCATGGATATCAACAATGCGATCGTCCGCCGCGTCCTGGTCGACACAGGGAGCAACGTGAACGTCCTCTACTGCGAGGCGTTCGAAGGAATGAAGCTGAGGAAAGATCAGTTGGCCCCCCTGCGCACTCCTCTTTCTGGCTTCACAGGGGACTGCATCGACGCGGAGGGTACCATCGGCCTCCCCGTGGAGATCGGGGATGGGCCTCACACCACCCGCATCCGGATGACGTTCGTCGTGGTCCGCCTGAAATGTGCTCACAACGCAATTTCGGGGAGGCCTGGCTTGGAAGACCTC